ATAAACAGAACCCTGTAATAACATAATTATAACAATGATATTTAATAATAATACGGGTGCAGCTCTAACTGCTTTATAGACAGGTTATAAAGCTCAACAGTAACAGATGAAATGATAAGTATTAAAATCTTATAAAGGCAGATCAAATATATAACATACAATAACACAGAGTCATCATCATCATTATTCATATTCATATTATTATTATTATAGTAAGGTGGTGATCCTCCTGACCCGTAGCTGGGGTGAAAGGTCACTGTTGGAGGTCTGCTCAGAGGAGATGGACTGTCCTCTGGTCTGCAGGGACCGATCTGACCGAGACGTGGACGAGCTGAGAACAACATTTAATACATTAGAACTGAAATAACACAGAACCGACATTAATACAGCAGAACGGACCGACCAGCACTCGTTCTGTTACCATTACAGTTGTGATTCAATGTGTGTACTCGTGTTCTAACCGTTAGCTAGTGCGTGTTCTATCTAGAACTCTCGGTAGATAAACACAATCTGGTAAATGTTAAACATCATAAACGGTTAGAGCAGAAAAGCGTTACAGCAGTTTAAAGCTGTGTGAGTCACATAATACATGAGTTAAAGAATCACTCTTAAAAAGACGGTTCTTCAAGGGTTCTTTAGTAAAGGGAACGGTTTTATTTAGAAAAATGAGTTCAATATACATTGATTACTTTCAGATAGAACCACTGCATGCTGAAATGGTTCTTTTCATGGTGCAATGGTTCTTCAAAATGGATGTTGTATGTGGTTCTATATGGAACCTTTTTGAAAAGGGTTCTATATAGCACCAAAAGAGCTCTTCTTGACATCATACATGCTTAAAAAGTTTCAAGGGTTCTTTAGGATAGGAGTGGTTCTATTTAGAAATATGATTTCAACATAGAACTATTTCATGCTTAAATGGTTCTCTGCATGGTAATGATTTTTCAGATTGACGTTGTTTATGATTCTACACGGAACCTTTCTGAAAAGTGTTCTATACATCACCAAAAAGGGTTCTTCTAAATATCACACACTCTTAAAAAGATCCTTGTTCAAGCGTTCTTTAGCAAAAGAAATGAGAATTTTTATTTAGAACCATGAGCTCTATATAGAACCATTTTATACATAAAAGGTTATCTGCATGGTGAAATGGTTCTTTCAGATTAATAGAGAGTGTGAGGTGGTTCTTTAAGGGTTATTCAGTAAGGAAAATGGCTCTATATAGAACCATAAATACTCAAAGAACCCTTTGGATGATCAAGCATCAAGCATGATTAGCATCGTAAAAGGGTTCTTCAGATTGCAGAATGTACTCTATATGGTTTTATATGGAACCTTTTTGAAAAGGGTTCTTCTGTTGATACAGGCTTGGTATTGTAATAATAGCAGGTGCTAAATAGAACCTTTTTCAAACAGGTTCTATATGTACTCATTGACTACACATTCAGCAATGTGAAGAACCCTTTCACAATACAAAGAACCATTTAACAATGCATAGCGTTCGTTAAGTGTTCTTGATTTTGCTGCCATATAAACCCATTTTCAGAAAGGTTCTAAGCAGAACCACTCCCTTTCCTACAGAACCCTTGAAGAGTGTAGTAAACAATAACACTGCGGTAAAGGAGTTAAAGTATCTGTGGGTGAATAAAGTTGCTATAAGCTGTAATAAGGCAGTAAAAGAAATGAAAAGTAAAGAATGACCCACAGTGTAAAACCCACTGCTAAGCTAATCGGCTAACAGCACTGCGAGCTCCTGCGGGTCTGTTTACTCTTTAATATTCACTTCATTCATAATAATTCACTTATTAATCCCGACAGAAAGCGATTAAACTCGTTATGACAGAAAAGATCCCGGTTATGGGTTTAAACAGTTTCAGTCCAGTGTTAGCGGTTAGCAGTTAGCCTCCTACTCGAACTCTCCAGTCCACCTTAAATGGTGCAGCAGTTACATTCAGGCGCCTGGAAGCTGCTGCTGGAACTGCTACATCGTTTAAGGTGGAGGGGAAAATCCAAATAAGATGCTGGCGAGTTTAACTAACGCGTTTAAAGCGGGTGGGTGAGGAGTTAAACAGGCAGTTAGCATCATGCTAATCCACCGTTTAAGGTGGAACAGGGAAATCCGAACAAGACGCCGGAGTGAGCGGTTAGCTGTCGGTGGCTGTACCTGCAGAGCGAGTCCAGGCTGGGCTGTCTGGAGCCCGGAGACTCGCCGTTAGAGCCCGGATCCATCAGAGCAGAGAAGCCGCCGAGTGTCACACAGAAAAGGAGCGATTAAACCCGCATTTGGCCGCCTTACGGCTCAGTCTGTCAGCTAAACCAGCCCAGCTCAAACACAGGAAGCTGCCATCTTTACCCACACGCCCTGTGCGGGGTGGGTGTGTCCGACAACCACTGTTTTTACGGCTTTGTGGGGACCTGATCTAAACGGAGTGATTAAAAAAAGTAAACACAAAACAGTTTTGGATTACTTTATTACTTTTTTAAAGATTTAAATGGCTACGATATGACTTTTATACTTACATAAGTATTTACACAAAAAGACACATGAAAAAAAGTACACAGAGGTTTACAGAAGGCACGAAAAACACGAGTTATGGACAAAAGTAAGATGAAAAAAACAAAAAAATAAAAACGTACAAATTATTCAAAATACAGCTCAAAAACACATTACAAATGAGCTGTGTAATCCTCACACAATCAGAGACAGTTTATGGGAATCTGGTCACTTCCTGTTTCTCCTATTACCTCAAAAACACTGGAGGACGCAGAACACTAGAGGGCGCCAGAGAGAGTCCCCAATGAATAAGAGCACAAGGAGACAAACATCTGAAAACGTTACACATTCCAAACAAGTTAAACCCTCTGACCGTTTGTGAAAGATATTTCTTTAACTTTGGACAGGAGAAAAATTTATTCCATTAAAAAAATAAAGAAAAGTGACCATCCCTCCATTTCTCTACAGTAATGGGTTTCGGGCAGCAGGATGCTAACACTACTGCTACTGAGCGCTGATTAGTTAGCATTACTGCTACTGAGCGCTGATCATTTCAGTATTGATCCACCCGTCCTGGCAGAGACACGGCAGTATTTTGGTCTTTAACATGTTTTTGTTAACAGTAAATTGTTTTCCAGCGCAGTTCCAACACCTCTAATCTAATCACTACTACATACAGTTTAGTTAGAAGTTTAACCCTTTGAGCTCTGAGGTCATTCTCTCTCTCTCTCTCTCTCTCTCTCAATCTGTCCATCTCTTCTTAAACTCTCCTTTAAAGGCTCTTCATATATCATGATCCTCATATGTTTCATATCTAAATGCTCAGTTATCTTCATCACTACTTTCCAAAACCGCTGCAGCAGCTTCAGCAGCTGTAAACTCTCTGCACGCCGTTTCACATGAGTCTCCGATGTGGACTGAATGAAGAATGAAGGGTTTCCGGCGTGATGGTCAGTCCTTAGTGATTTCCTGAGTGTCCATTGGTCAGTTTCACACAGAATGTAGATGGACCAATCCACCAGTTCCACACAGTGAGAGGCAGATGATGTGTATCTCAGCCCCTCTTCATAGGCTCATAACTCCGGATGTGAGTCTCGTATGATCTTGTGATAAGATGGAATGGAAAGGGCGACTTCAGTGTTAATATGGATGAGAGTCGTAACTGTGGACCATCCCTCGTTTACTCTCTGAAATCTAGAACATTTTACCACTTTCTGTCTTTAATGTGCGAACATCAAAAATGACACGATTCCAAACTCCAACTTCCCGTTTCCAGGCAAAGTTGAAGCAGCATGTTTTCAGCTCAGCGTTCACACTAAGACTTAGTTTTTTCATCAAATCCACTACAAACGAGAAAAGATCCACTGATGTTTGGAGTGAAAGTTTGATTACAAAAACGTTTCATCAAGTTTGGTAATAAAATGTGTTATTTATCTAATAAACACAGCAGGCTGCTAGCTAGGTGCTAGCTAACGTTAGCCAAAGTTTCACCACATTATCATGAAGCTACGCTATAAATTACATTCAGGCTGACTTTGATTATTTGAATTAGCTTCATGATTAAACTCGATTGCTAACACAGTTAGCATGTCTGGCTAAAGACAACCGAAGGTGATTGATTGATTGATTGATTTCACTTCCTGTGTTATTTATAATCCCTGCTAACTCAGCACAGTCTGGAAGATCAAATTCCAAACTACTTTTCACTCTTTGAATAGTTCTGAACCTCAGTAGAAAAAGCCTTGTGATTGGTCAGCACACAGTAAAGAACGCTGTGATTGGTTAGAGGCTGATCTGTGTATTTTAGTGTTCTGTGGTATCAGTCCGATATTACAGTAATGATTAATAATCTGTATGCTGTGCAGTTGTGCTGTGTACCCGTGTCTGTGCGTCAGAGAGTTGGTCTCGGTGCTGGGGTGGAGGGTGTGTGTGTGTGGGGGGGGGGCGTATCTGCGCACTGATCTGAATGGTAAAGAGAGCAGCACAAGAACCCATTGTATGCTAATCTTAGCATGGGAGCGGCTACAGCGTGACTGCTCTTCATTAGCAATGCAAAGCTGCTCTGCTGCACCGTAACGGCTCTCCGGAACACATCAACCCTTTCTGCACCGCTGTTAACTCCAGCTGCTCCGCTCCTCAGCAGGGACCCACCAAGCTACAGGTAAAACCCCTTTACCCCCTCAACTATCCACCACACTCACCCCCAACTACCCACCAAACCTCCTCAACTATCCACCACACTCACCCCGAACTACCCACCAAACCTCCTCAACTATCCACCACACTCACCCCCAACTACCCACCAAACCTCCTCAACTATCCACCACACTCACCCCGAACTACCCACCAAACCTCCTCACCTATCCACCACAATCACCCCCAACTACCAACTACCCACCAAACCTCCTCAACTATCCACCACACTCACCCCTAACTACCAACTACCCACCAAACCCCCCTCAACTATCCACCACACTCACCCCCAACTACCAACTACCCACCAAACCCCTCAACTATCCACTACACTCACCCCCAACTACCAACTACCCACCAAACCCCCCTCAACTATCCACCACAATCACCCCAAACTACCAACTACCCACCAAACCTCCTCAACTATCCACCACACTCACCTCCAGCTACCAACTACCCACCAAACCCCCCTCAACTATCCACCACAATCACCCCCAACTACCAACTACCCACCAAACCTCCTCAACTATCCACCACACTCACCCAAACTACCAACTACCCACCAAACCTCCTCAACTATCCACCACACTCACCCCAAATACCAACTACCCACCAAACCCACCCCAACTATCCACCACACTCACCCCAACTACCAACTACCCACCAAACCCCCTCAACTATCCACCACACTCACCCCAAACTACCAACTACCCACCAAACCTCCTCCACTATCCACCACACTCACCCCAAATACCAACTACCCACCAAACCTCCTCAACTATCCACCACAATCACCCCCAACTACCAACTACCCACCAAACCTCCTCAACTATCCACCACTCTCACCCCAAACTACCAACTACCCACCAAACCCGCTCAACTATCCACCACACTCACCCCAAACTACCAACTACCCACCAAACCCCCTCAACTATCCACCACACTCACCCCAAACTACCAACTACCCACCAAACCCCCTCAACTATCCACCACACTCACCCCAAACTACCCACTACTCCCACAACATAACTACCCACGGCATTCATCCCCATAACTATCCACCACACCTACCTCCAAAGTACCACACACCCCATAACTACCCATCCACCCCCAACTGCCCACCATACTCACCCTGACTATTGTGCGCTTAAACTACCAAACAGCAGTTAAAACTACCAGTGTTACCATAACACTGTACTCAACCTACAAACTACCGACTGTGTCTGATCCTCCTGCTTCTGTTCTGTTTCTCTCGCCATGTTCATTAAACTCTGTCTGTCTGAGTCTCCATCTGAGTCTCTGTCTCCATCTGAGTCTCTGTCTCCGTCTGAGTCTCTGTCTCCGTCTCAGTGTCAGTCTCTGTCTGAGTCTCTGTTTCCATCTCCATCTGAGTCTCTGTCTCTGTCTCCATCTCTGTCTCCATCTGAGTCTCTGTCTCCGTCTGAGTCTCTGTCTCCGTCTGAGTCTCTGTCTCCGTCTCCATCTGAGTCTCAGTCTCTGTCTCCGTCTGAGTCTCTGTCTCCGTCTGAGTCTCTGTCTCCGTCACACTGTAACTATCACTGATACTCTGTATGAAATATTTCTGTGTATAATATCAGTGATTGATCACTGTGATCTGTGTCTGATAGCGAAACAGTGAAGGTGATGTCAGAGAGACAGAAGAGCTGTTTGATCTGTTTGATCAGTTTGGTGTCCGTATTTATTTATTTCCTTCAATTACGTGTCAGAAAGCTGCTAAAGCCTGATTTGCATTAAGGCTGTTAATTACCCCCCCCCCACCCTTACCCCACATATAGATCAGATCAGCCAGGATTCAGCGTCTGAAATTCACTTCTTTAGTTTTAGCACTGGAGCTACGAGGCTAATGTAGCTAACAAGTAATGGGAGCTTATACCCACCAATTAGCACTGCGCTAACTGCATGTTTGAATCATCACACACTTGCCTCAGACGTGTTAGTGAAGTTGGTGTCCTGTTCACCAGCTTCTTCTCTGAATTCTCCATTCCACCTTAAATGTTCCATCAGTTCCAGCAGCAGCCTGCAGGCGCCAGAAAGTTACTGCTGCACCATTTAAGGTGGAACAGAGAATTCGAATAAGAAGGTGGTGAATTTTCTGAAACCGCTTATCCTTCTGGGTTGCGGGGGGTGGGAGGAATAGGAAAAGCAGCTCAGTATCTCTGATAGACTTATTGATTATGTGGTTTCGGACGCTGTATGACAAACTGTTATCTATAAACGTTTTATAACAGTAGGTCACATAAATAAGTGTTTTATAATAGTTCTGAGCCTCAGTCTAATCGAGCCTCTGTGGGATGTGGTAGAACAAGAAGTCTCGATCGCAGAGGCTCGACTTCTCAACTTACAGGACGTAAAGGACACTGCAGACGTCCTGACGTCACATTCAGAGCCCATGGCCTCTTTTCCAATCCAGGGCTGATCGGTTCTGAGCAGAGATTTTCGGACACAGTTCCGTTCGGTGGGATGACCTCACAACGTAGCTGTTCGCTGATTGGCTCTATGTTTATGTTGGTATTGTGCCGTCTCAAGCTAATGCTAACCAGCTCCTCTCTCCCATCTAACTTAGCTCAGCTAAACAGACCCAAACACTCAGTACAGGCTTGAATTGACTGACTGCTGCTCTGAAATCAGAAGTATAGATGATAAAATCCGTATAACAGCGAGAGCAAAGTGGGCTGACTGGTGTCGGAGTGACAGAGAGCCAAACCTGTTCTGTAGTGTTCTAAGCTGTAGTCGCTAGGCTAAGCTAATGCGAGTGTACGGTGCCTCTCCGCAGTACGGTCTCGGTTCCAGCTAACCGATGATTAAAAACACCCAATTAGAGGATAAACACTCACATCTGAGAGCACAGATTCAAATATCTGGTGTTAAAGTGACAGAAATATAAAATAGCATTGTTCTGTGGTGCTTTGAGCTGAACCCTGCTGGGTTATGCTAATGCTAACGTAGTTAGCCAGCTGAATGTTTACCCACCGCAGTACAGGATCAGTTTCAGTGACTGATCTTCAAACAACACATTTAGAGGACACAGAATCTGAGAGCACAGAGACACTGGAGCTGGAGCGAAAGATGGAGTCGAACATGTTTCGTAGTGTGTGTGTGTGTGTGTGTGTGAGACAGGCCCATGTCTTAGTGGGTCGGAGCTGTTTTGGCGGCACCAAAAGAACCAACAGGAGGTCACATGGTGTGAGGGGGCGCAGCAATGGCTGGGTGATAACAGGTCACATGGGTGTGGGTTCTTAAGCAGCAGCAGTAGCCCTGGGTGGACAGAGGACTGACCGCTGCGCTCACAGAGCCCCCACTCTCAGTGTGCCATAGACCGGCTGGCTGTGATGCTGCTGGACGCTCAGGGGGGTTCTGCCCATGCCGCTAACACCACCACCGGAGCCTGGTGAGACTCACACTCACAGAGCTGGACCTTCAGGAGAGACGCACAGCCATCCAGATCAGATCAGAGCAGCCAGGACGTCTTTGGTGTCTGAAGTTTTAGCACAGCAGCTACGAGGCTAATGTAGCTAACAAGTACTGGAAGCTTATACTCCACCAATTAGCATTGTGCTAACTGCACAGCTAAATCAGTGCAGACTCGCCTCAAACGTTTAGTGAGGTGGCTTCCTGTTCATCAGCTTCATATGGGAACTCTCCATTCCGCCTTAAATGCAGCAGGCGCCAGAAAGTAACTGCTGCAGCATTTAAGGCGGAACAGAGAGTTCCAATAAGAAGCTGACAAAGAGGGAATCTTCTGGTCTCAAAGCATGTGGAGCTGTTCAGTGATCTCCAATAGACTTAAAATACATGATATTGGAATCATAAAATAGATGATATTGATATCAGTATTGACAGATTATTACTTTTAAAAATGTATCATCAGAAAGATGTTTATATTTGTCTGATGTGTGATGGTGTGTTTATTGACGCTGAGTTACTGCACTGAAATATCTGCAGTTTATTATTTTTACTGCATGTTTAACCCCTTAAAATAATTTAATTTAGAGTTTTAATCCCAATTTACACATTTTATAAATGTTTATGTATCAGCATCTGTTTACTATTTCATATCGTTACTGTCTTAATATTGTTTTCCGTTATTTTTTCTAAACCTACTTAGTTGTTTTGTTTATTTTTTTGCTGATGTGCCTAATAGTTTTGGTTGATTGTTTTAATTTGTTAATCTTATTATTCTTAAAGTTTCCTATTTTTATTTGTTTTATGTACTGTTTTAAAAATAACTTTTTTGATCTTATTAATTTGTTTGCTAAACTATTACTACCATAAATGTATATTTAATCTTTTCAATCTCTTCCTTTTTTTATATTAAGCTCTGGGTTTAATTAAATGTTTATTGGTTGATTGATTGATATGGTTATTACAGCTCAGCTTCTTATTTATTATATTTATTTATTTGTATGCTTGTTTGTGTGTTTGTTTACTTGGTGAGGTCAGTTTAGAATAAACTTTATTTTTATTTAACTAACTTATTGCTGATTGGTTAGCGTTACTGCTACTGAGAGCTGATTGGTTAGCATTACTGCAACTGAGCACTGATTGGTTAGCATTACTGCTACTGAGCGCTGATTGGTTAGCGTTACTGCTACTGAGCGCTGATTGGTTAGCATTACTGCAACTGAGCACTGATTGGTTAGCATTACTGCTACTGAGCGCTGATTGGTTGGCATTACTGCTACTGAGAGCTGATTGGTTAGCATTACTGCTACTGAGCGCTGATTGGTTGGCATTACTGCTACTGAGCACTGATTGGTTAGCATTACTGCTACTGAGAGCTGATTGGTTAGCATTACTGCTACTGAGAGCTGACTGGTTAGCATTACTGCTACTGAGCACTGATTGGTTAGCATTACTGCTACTGAGAGCTGATTGGTTAGCATTACTGCTACTGAGAGCTGATTGGTTAGCATTACTGCTACTGAGAGCTGATTGGTTAGCATTACTGCTACTGAGCACTGATTGGTTGGCATTACTGCTACTGAGCGCTGATTGGTTAGCATTACTGCTACTGAGCACTGATTGGTTAGCATTACTGCTACTGAGCACTGATTGGTTAGCATTACTGCTACTGAGCACTGATTGGTTGGCATTACTGCTACTGAGAGCTGACTGGTTGGCATTACTGCTACTGAGTGCTGATTGGTTAGCATTACTGCTACTGAGAGCTGATTGGTTAGCATTACTGCTACTGAGAGCTGATTGGTTAGCATTACTGCTACTGAGTGCTGATTGGTTAGCATTACTGCTACTGAGTGCTGATTGGTTAGCATTACTGCTACTGAGTGCTGGTTAACAATGAGTATCAGTTCTCGCTGGAAATTCTCTGGTAATAACATAGAAGAAGCTTTATGCGAGATTCCGTTCTGAGAATCTGTTGCCATCAACAGGCACTATGTAGGTACTGCATCCAGTCTGAGTTATAGTAAAGAGCATAAAGGCACAGATAAATAAATTGATATCAAGGTAAAGTTTTGAAAAATGGATTTGCAATTCGTGGATTAACTGCAGTATCAGCACAGCTGAATTTAACAGTGTGTGTATTTTGTTTCAGACCTGGAACCGAAAATGAACTGGGCGTCCTTCTACGCCGTGATCAGCGGCGTGAACCGGCACTCCACCGGGATCGGCCGGATTTGGCTCTCCGTCCTTTTCATCTTCCGGATCCTGGTGCTGGTGGTGGCGGCCGAGAGCGTCTGGGGCGATGAGAGGTCGCACTTCACCTGCAACACGCAGCAGCCGGGCTGCAACAGCGTCTGCTACGACCACTTCTTCCCCATCTCGCACATCCGCCTGTGGGCGCTGCAGCTGATCCTGGTCTCCAGCCCCGCCCTGCTGGTCACCATGCACATCGCACACCGCCGACACGTGGACAAGAAGCTGTACCGGCGCTCGGGCCGTGGTAGCCCCAAGGAGCTGGAGCAGATCAAAACGCAGAAGATGAAGATCACCGGTGCCCTCTGGTGGACGTACCTGATCAGTCTGCTGTTCCGCGTGCTCTTTGAGTCCGCCTTCCTCTACCTGTTCTACATGATCTACCCCGGGTACCGGATGTTCCGGCTGGTCAAGTGCGACTCGTATCCGTGTCCCAACACCGTCGACTGCTTCGTCTCGCGGCCCACCGAGAAAACCGTCTTCACCGTCTTCATGCTGGCTGTGTCCGGCATCTGCATCGTCCTCAACATCGCCGAGGTCGTCTTCCTCGTCGGCAAGGCGACCAGCCAGCATCTGAACAACGCCAAAGACTCGCCGGTCGGCGCCTGGATCTCTCAGAAACTCTTCTCCTACTAAAGAAATGGTCTTTTAGAGACACGCCCCCCACAAACCCCAGAAATTCTAACCCTGACCAGAGGAGCTGAACTCTCCCTCCTCTGAGAAGATCTCTAGTGAGACGTCCGGCTACGTTCTGATTTTTTGCTTTGATCTGACACAGATTCACCCGAATATCTGATGGTTATTTCAATAACCTCAAATATTTTATATGTTTCGTCAGTTTACTGCAATTAAAATGACGTATTAACATCGTTACTTTTTGAGTCAACATTTTATGTCGTTTTTATCTCTGAATAAATTTGTGTTACTCCAGCGCTGCCTGTTCAACACGTTATTGATCAGGATGTGCACTTGCGGATCGTTTCGGGTCGCAGGTCAGTTCACGTTAAAGACAGATACGAGTCGCACAAAAGATCGTGAACCATCAAAATCAGATCTGAGCAAAAAATCAAGGCTTGTAATGTGGACGTAGCCTCGGTGATCTCTCCTGGTCAGACACTAGATGGCGCTGACGAGTCCAGTATGAGTGGGTTTCTATGGAGCTGTTCAGCAAAACTGTTACAGAAATTGATCAATAAGCTCAATGCAGAACATCATAAAATGATTCAACTGCATTTTTAATCATTTTAGTTAAATTATTTTTTAAAACATAAAAAAGCAGAAATACTGACGTTTACTGATTTTTAAATGTAATACATTCTACTACCAAGATTAAAGTTTCGCCATGAACGTCTGGAAACATCATGAACATTTTCAGCTGTTTGGTTCCATTCACTCCCATTCACTGAGCGCTCCCTCTGGCGCCCTCTAGTGCTGCACAGTGATGTTTCTGTAATGAAGGGCCTGTAAAGATCCAGAACTCAGTTCACTGCAGTGTTTTGGGAGATTTTCACCCACAGCTTTAAAAATGAACCTGTAAAATGTAAAGTTGGTGCTTTTTATGTAACATGAGGGTTTACATCAACACAGCTCTGCGATTCAGGAACAAAGAAGAGAACAGCAGAGCAGAAAGAGAGAGAGAGAGAGAGAGAGAGAGAGAGAGAGAGAGAGACAGAGAGAGAGACAGAGAGACAGAGAGAGAGACAGAGAGAGAGAGACAGAGAGCGACAGAGAGAGAGAGAGAGGGAGTCACTCCAGTCATGCTTCAGATGAGCTCCTGAATTTTTTACTATTTTCTTATTTTAAAATGAGATAGAACTTAGAAAACAATCAATGTAAAGTCACTTCTTACTATTAAACACAATTTGATTCAGAAATTTATTAGAGTTGGCAAGAAAACTTTAACAAACATTAAAATAGTGTAGCATAACAGCTTTACCAGGCAAACCAGGAGAGAAGAAGAGGAAAAGAAGAGGACAAAAGCCAGAACAGAGGAGAGGACCAAGAAAGGGAGAATAGGAGAAAGAACACTTAAACCTCTTGGAATAAACATAAAGGAAGCAACTACAGGGACAGATCAGGAAAACAGAGAAAGGAAAATAGGAAAGGAAAACAGGGATCTAAGAGACTGACAGAGAAGGGACTGGATTCGCTAAACAGCAGACAGATCTGATCAACTCCACATTTGGGGTAAGGATGCACCTGTTACAGCTGAATACTGTGGATGAATAATTAATACAGCTATATTCCATACAGTCCTGAAAGAGCCTCATCAGAAATCACAGCTAATATCATCAGTCTGCTAGAAAACACTGCGAAGGATTTTAGTTAAGCTGTTAGTGCTGTGAAGGTGACAGTTAGCTGAGCCCCTTCCCCCGAGCGGTCAGCTACACCCCTCCCCCAAACGGTCAGCTACACCCCTCCCCTGAGTGGACAGTTAGGCTGCTGGCATTTTTCAAAAAATAGATATACTGTATGAGAATGGCTGTAGCTGCAGCAGTGGGCGGAGCAGCAGGCAGAGCAGTAGGCGGAGCCAGAGAGTTTGAGTTCCCTGCAGACACTCACTCTGAGAGCAGCAAGCAGCAGTACAAGCTAAAAACACAGAGAGAAAGTCCAGAAACCTTATTTAAAGACTGCAGCCTAATTAAAGGGAAAAGCACCATCACCAACCTGCTGTTCTACACTGAACACACAGACATGTGGCATTCAGTTGTCTGTAAAAATTACAAATATATAACGAAGCGTGGAATCTGCAAAGGTAGACAGATTTGTATCTTTGAAGACTGTGAAAAAATCCCAGAAAGCAGATTCCTAACAGTCAACATGTATCAGAATGGGACAGTCTTGGTGCAAGGAAGCGAAGCTGCACTGAAACAGTTTGAGGAAGCCTTCCCATCCCTCAAAGAGCAGTGTGAAAGAGAGAGAACAGTCATCACTCCTCAAACACACAGTAATGATGGAGAAATAGAGCCCCCCCACATCCACCCCACTTCTGCAAAAGACACAGTCCCCTCAGCCTCTTCCCCAAGTCCACTCCTCCACACCACCATAGCACAGCTCAGAGACAGCCTCTCCCTGCTGGAGGTAGAGCTAGTAGGACTGAAGGAGCAGATACAGACCCACATGTCCACCAGCTCCCACACTGAACCCCTCAGAGACCAGCTCAGCCAAACCAAACACCAGCTGAAAGTGACAGTGCAGGAGCTGAGGAGAAACATAGATAACATGCTTGAGGACAGGGACTCACTAAGAAGAGAGCTAGCAGAGTACAAGGAAAATGCTAAAAGGGAACTTGCAGACCTGAAAGAGGAGCTAAAAAGAGAGTTGGTAGGCCTCAGACAGGAGATACACCACAGGGACACCATCATAGAGATCCTCAAAACACAGCTACAGCCTCAGACTGCCCTCCAGAACACTGCCCACACTGAGCATGCCCAACCTTCTCCAACCCCAACAGAGCCCGCTCCTAGCAACACTAAACCAGCCAACACCCAGATGACGCCCCCCACACAAAGAGACCACCCTGCAACAGTCTCAGTCACACCCACAACCCCCCACAAACAGGAAAAGAAACAACAAACAGACAAAACTCTCACCACTCAAACCCAAGACTCACAGACCAGCAGGACTGGTGCACTGCAGAGAGACACTGATGTTGCAATACTCATTGATTCAAATGGAAGATTCCTACAAGAAAAGAAGCTCTTCCCAAACCAGAAAACTCTGAAGATATGGTGCCCAAGAACGAACGATGCCCATCAAATCCTCTCTGACAACATCCTTGACAAGCCTGCCTGCATCATCATCCACACAGGCACAAATGACCTTAGAGCAGAGCAGGAGAGAGTTGGAGGACTGGTCTGCAGAGTAGCACAGAGGGCTGCGGAGACTTTTCCCAGTGCCAAAATCATAGTCTCCACCATCCTGCCCCGAAAGGACTTCCATCCTGCCACCATTCAGAGAGTTAATGCAGATATCTCCAGAGGATGTGCCCTCATCCCCAATGTACACCTGGCTCACCATTCCAGCATAACCCCTTATCACCTCTATGACCATGTGCACTTAAACAGGCATATAGTCAAAGAATTTGCTAAAACACTGAAGGATGTAGCACTGGGTCGACAAACTCACATGACCATCAAACACAGAGGAGAGCACCCAGCAACAGAGAAGCCCTACTACAACCACGCACCCACCAGAAGCCCACCAGCACGCAAACTCCCCCAAAGATCCCAGCCAGGACAGCAACTATGCCAGCACAACCTGCCTCAACCAGTTCAGCGCACCCCACCAGTCAGACCTGCACAACGCCCCTCACAACCCAGAGCAGCACTTCATCACCCAGCAAGGTCACCAACACATCAGAACCAGCCAGACAGCAGAGGTACCAACACCCAACTACTCGGAACTCAGAAACACAGCCCACAGCAGCACCGCAGCTACGCTGATGTCCTCAGAGGAGCACCTGCCACTCAAGACATGGGTGAGATCAAGCAATTATTGCAGTACATCTGCACTAGACTCATATAAAAACTGCACAGGAGCTCCATGAAAGGGAAAACCACCAAAGAAAAAAAACCCATATTCATTGTACATTGTGCATTACTGTTTTGTATTAAGACTGGCAAATACTGTATAAGAAAAGTTATTTAGATTAATAGGATATTAGTTGTTTTTCACAGTTCATCTCATTTTAAATAGAAAAGAACTAAATTAAAAATAGCCTCACTTTCAGTTAGTTTATGGAATATCCAAGGCTTGAGCTCATCAGCCTTTGGCTTGAAAAGCCTAAATTATGATTTTCAAAACTCTATCAAAGACCTTGACATCATTATCCTACAGGAGACATGGTGCAAGGCTGACACGGTCACTCACTGCCCCAAAGAATACAGAGAAATTATAGTACCGTCCCAAAAGCTGAGTACAGTACGCCAAGGCAGATGCTCAGGAGGACTAATTATTTGGTATAGATCAAATCTACATCAGTACATAGACGTTGTAAAAACAGAAAAATACCTTATTTGGCTTAAAATAAAAAAAAACATAACGTCTTCACACAAGGACCTGTTCCTCTGTGCTGTATACATCCCCCCCTCAGAATCCCCCTACTACTCCGAACACATGTTTTCTGAGTTGGAGAGAGAGGCGTGCCATTTCCAGGCCCAGGGAAATGTGCTGATCTGTGGGGATCTGAACGCCAGAACAGGGACACAACCTGACTTCATACATGCACAAGATCAATTTAACACAAAGAAAATGTCCTTTATTAACAACAATTTTCTTCATCCCCCCAGAAACAATCACGACAACGTAACAAACAGGAATGGAAAAGAACTCCTGCAGCTCTGTCAGAGTCTGGGTCTGTACATCGTCAATGGTAGGACACGAGGGGACTCTTTGGGAAGATACACGTTTTGCTCACCTCTTGGGAACAGCACAGTAGATTATATGATAACAGACTTAGACCCTTTCAATCTCAGTGCGTTCACTGTTAAAGCCCTAACCCCTCTGTCTGACCACAGCCAAATCACTGTGTTCATTAAAAGGACAGAGACTAACAGCACTGCACACACTCAGCCCAGTAAGCTGTACAGCATCAGGAGACCATACAGATGGGCCCAAAACAGCACAGAGGAGTTCCAGAAAGCAATCAGAGACCCCAAAATTCAGACACTTTTAGACAGCTTTCTGGACACCACACACACTCACAGTAAAGAAGGTGTCAATCTGGCAGTAAAGAACCTAAACACAACCTTTGAAAAAACAGCAAAAAAGGCAAAACTGAAAATTAAGAATATATCAAAACCTACACTGAATAAAGAAGACAACTGGTTTGATCAAGAGTGCCAAAATATGCGAAAGAAACTCAGAAAATTGTCAAATCAAAAGCATAGAGATCCAAACAACTCTAACATTCGCCTTCTTTACTGTGAAACTTTAAAGCAATATAAACGTACACTCAGAACCAAAAAGACTCAGTACACTCACAAACAGCTGACACTAATCGAGGAGTCAATCAGAACAAACCAGTTCTGGGAGAACTGGAACAAGCTTAAAAAACGAGAGCCATGAAAGAACTGGCAATACAAACAGTGATATTTGGACAGATCATTTCAAAACACTCTTCAGCAAAGTAGACTCGAGTACGAATCCTCAGCAAAACCATATAAACAAAAAGCTTGAAGAACTAGAATTGGCTATAAAGGATAATCAGAACCCTTTAGACTCCTCAATTACTGAGCAGGAACTGAAGGAGAACATTAACAAACTAAGACCAAAGAAAGCCTGTGGGCCTGATGGAGTACTGAATGAAATGATAAAAAACTCAACTTCTAAATTTCAATTAGCTATTCTAAAGTTATTTAATCTGGTTCTGAGTGTAGGTTACTTCCCTGAAATCTGGAATCAAGGACTAATAACCCCAATCTTTAAAAGTGGAGATAAATTCGACCCAAACAATTACCGAGGCATCTGTGTGAACAGTAATCTGGGGAAGTTACTGTGCAGCATTTTAAATTCCAGATTTCTAAACTTCCTTATGGAGCACAGTGTCTTGAGTAGAAGTCAAATTGGATTTTTACCAAATTACCGCACCACCGATCATATTTACACCCTACACACCCTAATTGATAAATACATCGTCCAAAATA